GGTGTCAGAAATACAAATAGAGGCACTCAACGTTGCTCTGAAATCTCGCGTTGAACTTACTTCTTACCGGAACAAAGTAGAGGATGGCTTCTCCACTACCTAGGCTTAGTGTGCAAAGACATGTCTCCACAAACCAAATGCTTTGTGAGATGTCATTGTAGTTCAACCGCTTCTAATGACGCGCTACAACTTAAATTCTAAGCGCGTCTTTGAAATAATATCCCCTTTGGATACCAGATCTAACTTTATGACGCCAGAAAGAATTGACAAACAAGTTAAGATTCTTCGGTCGAGAGTATTAAAGTTTCCGCAGATTGAATTTAAAACTTATTGATAAAGTAGTAGGAGGAGACAGCTCTCATTGAAGCTATTATATCTTTGGTAGCATATTCCAGATCCCAATCTCTACCATAATGAAAGCTGTTAATCACGTTAGAACTCGTGAGATTAGTCCAAATTTTACCCGGCAGTGGCAGTCACTGGGTATCGGAAACTATTATATATGCTGGGTCCGATACTCGAGGTGACTATATCCCTGAGACGGTTCAAAAACGAATCACAAGCTGTCCGAAAGTGACTTGCATGTATTTTGGTCAACTCACTGGCAACGGCTTTCTTCAGTGCCTCGAGAGTGGTGCATCTTTAAGTTCGAACCTTGCACTCCGAAATGGCTCAAAAAGATTAATTCTTCGGACTACCGTCTGGGGAATTTGAAAGCGATTGTATGGGCATTGAGAAGTTCGGAACGTTGTTTTCCAACCATTCTTTGTTCACTCGATCTTTAAAAGACGGTTTTGAGTCCTGCTGAAACGCCCATGCTCTGCCCCCGAAATGTTTGTCTGCGCAAGGCTTCAAAGCAACCACCAGAATACTTTTCCTTTAATATTACATATTTACCAGGCTCTTTAAAAATTATTGCAGAGCGCCCATTTGCGATTATAGCGGCCTGGTGACCAATCGATGACTCAAACTTTGGTATGAATGGTCAGAAAAGTAAATCGTCATGTTTTGAAAGTTTACGGATTACAGTATAAATTGTTTTGTTAGAAATCACAATGTTCGAAAATTAACAACTTTCGGCTAAGCAAAGTTCTCTCAAGCGTGACTAATTGCTTGTTTACTCTTGGGTGGGAGATCATGCAAAAAGCAAATGATTTCCGAATTACGTATTATTTTCACATATTTTGTATTTTGAATTGAGTAAAAGTAATTTTCCAAACTGAATAGGTGGCCTGTACCTTCTGATTTTACACCCTGCAGGTAAAATACTAGTTGTTAATTGGAATCCAACTAGTTGGCATATTTGCACTAACTATATCATCTTCCATCTCTTTCCCGTATAAGCAACTGCTAACTTCAATACGTTCTACGAACTGTCAATTGTCCGACTATGCATCAGCTTTATACCAGTTCTATACCACGTTTTTTAGGTATATTCAGTTTTTACTTCATTAAAACAAAAATAATAAGAAAAACAGTGCGCCTATAGCGAGACAAGAACCGGGAGCCTAATGCGCTACAATCTTTCGATTATCGTGACGATGAATCGATTAGCGTCACTTTGCGGACCCTAAGAGCGCGTAACTGAGAATGGAACTTAGCCGTGGCGTGCTAGTTATAACAACAAAACAGCAATAAACGGTGGTGGAAATTATTATTACTAGAAATAGAAAATAATTTTTTCCGTTTGCGGTGGCGCCTTGGTAGAGAATGTTTTGCTCTCCGAGTGACTTTCTGACATGAGGCGGCTTAGAGTAAACTTTTGGAGAAAATCCAAACGCATACTACAAATTGGTGGATAGCCACTTCTGCGTTTATAAAGCGCCAATTGTACATACATGTAAATAAATATAATTTTTCTGTACTAGTTTGGCTTTTCTCTGCAATAAATAATAAATAAATTAGCCGATCCGGCTATACAGTGCTGTGGCCTTCTGTATTATGTCTAATTTTTTAATGTAAGTCAAACGCACCATTCAGATTTATGCTTATTCACACTCATATTGATTAAGAATAGCTTATAACTCGAACATACCTACGCACATTCTGTATTTATTTCTTAATCATACAGATTTTTTTTTCAATCCATCGGTGATCTCTTTGCCGCAGAGAAAATATAACTAGATTTCAGATCGGTCCAAAACAAAGAAACAATAATTCAAGTAAATCAGCCGACATCTTCACGAGTCTTTACAAACAAACGTTTGATTTATATATATAGTATATATATAGATTTTGAGATAATGGATAAAAATTCTGTTAATTAATTCTCTTAGTTGTTTCTTTAAGAGCTTCCTACTCCTTTTCTTTTTAAACCAAATTAGTAGAAGAAGGCCAAGAATAAAGTCTAATTTCATACTGTTTTAAGCCCAATATGCAGTCTCAGAAGCATAGCTATCGTCTCGTATTCAAATGTGTACTCATGTCTGTATGTGTGCAAGAAAATCCTTTCTTTGTCAAAGTAAACAAAATTGTGTATTTTTCTGTACTAACTGTCACTTTGATTTCCATTTAGTGATAAGCATTGTTGATTTGTGCCAGAAATCCAAAGAGCTTAGCATAGCCGGACATCGAGAAATGATGGCATTCAAGTTGCGAAATGTCCGTCGATCCCTTTTACAACAGCTTTGGTTTTTATTATTATTTGTTTTTTTCTGCTTTTTTGCATCTATCTTCCATAGCCTCCTCTGCTGCTAAGTATTTTTGTGCAACTGCTTTGTGTGTGCTTGGGAGATAAAAGTGATTCGCTTTTATATTTTACGCTTCTCTAAAGGCTTTTGCATTTACGAGATTTGGCGTTAAGTGGGATTTTTTGTTGTCATTTTTTTCTAGACTCTGCTGAGTTTTGCTTTCTTTTCTCTATTATATTTTAAAGGTATATTTATTAATTGTGTTTTTTTTTTTTTTTTGTAAATAATTTTGACCGTTTCACTACGCAACTCAATAGCCTAAAGAAATTAATCAGAAATTGCGCTTAAAATGAGAAATGAAAAGGGGTAATGCGGTTGAGGCCGGAGAGTAGGAGAGTAACGCATAAATATTCTGTTGTGACTTGTAATTAGCGCATGCCAGAGAATTTCATTTTCTTGACTGTGGGTTCTTATGGTTTCTTCTGATATTAACCTATTATTATTTATTGCCTACTGCCATTCGAAAGGCTCGGGTTCAAATCCCCGTGCGACCAACATCCAAAAGTTATAGAAAATTAATTTAAATAAATAATTAAGTTAAATTTTGTAATTGCCCCTCGGCAGGAAATGTCAACCCCTCCGAATGTATTTCTGACATGAAATAAAGCTCCTCCAAAGAAAACCATCAGCCGTTCGGAGGCGGCTTAGTATGAACTCGCTTAAGCGGTTACCAAGGTCCAATTTTGTATATATTATTTATACCATTCTGCGAAATATGTATGCACACACCTACACCAAAGGAAAATCATTTAAAAAATGGTGCTGCGATTAGCTTCCCACGCTTGAAGAAATGCTGACTGCCTACATGTCAGAGTGAAATTAAAGGGAAACCGCGTTGCATAGTGTACTTCATTGAAAACCTTCTCAATGAAATGGAATTATGTCTCGTTGCCTTACCGGACATAGGGGAAGCTTTCAAGAAAGCAGCTACTCCTATGAGTAAAGGTACGCCTAAAGGTGGCTTCCTCTCTCACATGCTCAGGTATCTCGCTTCTAACAGGTACTGACTAGGTATGAGCGAAAATTGTCGTACGCTTTCAGACTACAGTGCATTTCGCTCTTCAACTGAGAGAGATATATCAGTGGAGCAATAAATGATTTGGTTACCCGACAATCCTGGAAAGAAACGAGTTCAATATTTCTATATCTACATATATATACATATATATAACTAATTTTCAAACAAATGGAAGCACCTACAGTTCACACTAAGCCGCCTCCGAACGGTCAATGGACTTTTGTTATGAGATTTAATTTAATGTCCCTGCCCAGGAGCGACTGCAGTTAGGAAAATTTACTTTCTGTTATATTTGAAGTAGGTTGAACCAGTACTCGAACCTGACACTCAGAATGACAGCACGCAATGTTAAGCACTCAGCTGTGGCGGACGGCTTAACATCTTTAAAAAGTCAAGTTTTGATATTTTCTATAGACAGAGGGAACGTTGGTTCAAACTTCTTCAAAAAGATTAATGGCATTTTCGTGCCTGATTTGGATGACGTTGAGGTGGCGATCTTTGGTTCCAACAAGAGGATGGTGCCATTTGCCCTTCAATTAACGAAACAAACAATTTATTGAAGGTACCTTTTGGTTAGTGAGCCTGTGGCGCTGTTAACAATGCTGGACTATTTTTTTTCGTGGCGTTATGAGAGAGCATTCTGCGCGTTATCATTGACACATGGCTCGGATTGCTGCAAAAAGTGGTCGAAAGTTGGGCTTTATTCGAGTCAGACATACCCTTAACTTTATAATCACACTAAATTCTTGGTTAAAACATGAAATTGTAAACGTTTTATTTCGTCTTGGAAACCACTGGTCTAAAAAAACTCTTATTTTGGACTTATTTGTAATAGCTGAGACGAGCCGTTTGATATTCTTCTAATAAATGGTGGAAACTACTGTTTTATTTAAGCCACGAGACTTTCACTTCATGCCAACAAAATGCTTGGAAGGGTGCACATTCTCTGCCGAAAAACAACCGCATTCTATTCACTGAATTTCTGCCGGTTGATCTGGCTCTCTTAACTCTCTTTTGTTTTGCGGAATCGCGCAATATTTTCGCTTAGCTTTTCTATTACTACTTTGTTTTCTTTTCGTTTTTTCAAAAATAATTTATTATTATTAATGTTTTTTTTTTATATGAAAAAAATAAAAATATCTTAAATGAAAAAGGAATATCAAGAGAGAGTTGTTGGTGTGTTAACTATTATGCTGTAGTTGCTGGTTTTACACTTATACATTTATATATAAGTATATGTAATTGCTGTTGTTGTCCCTTGCCTGCTACTTGAGCATAAATATATATATATATATGTATGTATGTATGTATATAAATATTTGGTAGACATTTACATGTATGCGTAATTATGATATTAAGTCTGATTTCAGATTTTCATCTCAATTTAAAAGATTTATTACAAACAAATTTAAACATTTTTTTTTTGTTTTTTTTTTTCTTTTCTTTTCTTGTTTCTTCTACTATAAAAAAGACAGAGAGAGAGCGAGCGACATGCATTCATGTTGTCACAGTTGTTGCGTGTTTGTTTGTTGGTGTTGTCGAGTGAGTTTAATAAATCAGTCGCGTACATATATATGTAGGTATGTGTCAGAGTGAGTTTGAGAAATTGAGAATTAGAGTGAGAGAGGTATTATTACTCCTTTGACAATTACATAAGTAATGCAGTAAGAATTTCATTTGAGGTACTGCGCCTTTAGCTGATCTCCGCTCTTTATGCAGCATATGTATGTACATACATATTTATATATGCTTATGTAGGTGTTTATTATATATTATATATATATATATATAAATTTTTGTGTTTTATTTATTTTACGGTTTTTGTTTTTGTTGACTGATCGAATAAGCTAATAATAACTATTTTCATTGTTTTTAAATTTTATTAAATGTAGTTAAATTAATTTATTCTTCTTCCTCTTCTTCCTCCTCCTCTTCTTCCTCTTCTTCTTCCTCCTCCTCTTCCTCTTCCTCTTCTTCCTCCTCCTCTTCTTCCTCTTCCTCGGCCTCCTCATCTTCCTCTTCGACAACCTCCTCCTCGACTTCCTCTTCATCCTCGACAATATCTTCATCGGCCTTGGCATCTTCTTCGCCTTCGGGTGTCTCGGGTTCGCCGGCCTTTTTGCCTGGTCGTTCGCCGAACCACTTGGGCAGTTTGGCTGTGTGGTAGATGATGGTAAAGAGCAGAGAAATGAGTATCATTAATGTTATCATAATAAGAAAAAATTAATAAAAATAAAATAAAAATAAAAATAAAAAATAAAAAATAAAAAAACAATAAAAATTTATATAAAAATGCGTTTAGTAAAAAAAACTATCGCAAGGTTTGTTTTAGATAAAAAAAGAAATGATCAAAAAACTGTTAGCCAAAATACAAAACACTGAACAATAGTTTTCTGAGTTGTTTTTGTGTGTAAAATTATTTTTTTTTGAACTTATGTTTTAATATTTTTTGTAATTTTTTTTTTCTTTTAATTTTCGTTTCAATATTTTTTATATATTCCTTTCTTTTAGCTTCTTTATCATACGTACATTTCTGGCGGCCTGAGTATTGGTCCTTCTTCTCGTTCCAGATCTTCTCATTCACCTCCTTGCCGATTTCTTCCCAGCCCTAATGGCCGCATGTGTTACAATTTTATTGTTATTTTTGTTGTTGTTGTTTGTGTACATATGTGGTTTACGTTTTGGATGCAGACGAGCGTACGAACGAACGAACGAACGAATGGAACACGTAACAAATTGCATACATAAAATCGCAGTTCAAGTGATATTTTTAGAGAGAAAGAAAGATAAAGAGAGACAATGATTGTAGTTAGAATGAGTAAAGATTATGACATTTTTTATCTTTTATTTTAATGAGAAAATTATTGACTATGCGTGGGTACTCGTGTCTTATGTGTATTAGTTTTTCTTTTTTAATTTTTTCTATTTCTATAAAAAAAATTTAAATAATATATTGACCGCCAGAGACTGTTTGAACTGTCTTTAATATTTTTGTTTTAGCCCAAACTTTTCGTTATATATTTTTATTTTAAGTTTATATTTCAATAATATTTTACTGATGTTCTTCTTTTTTCTCATAAATTCTATGCGAACTAATGGTGCAGAAAATTTTTAAATCCAACGTCCCAACCTTATTGCCTTCCTTATTAAATATACAAACTCTCTAAAAACCCTGCTGCGCATGCTCTCCGTCCTTAAGAGTGCGGCGAGATCGCACAGTTAAACGATTAACCAATAGACGCTTGAGCTTGCTCTCTTGCCCTTGGTAAGTTTTAAATGTTGTTTGTGTATTTTTTTGATTTTTCTGTACGAGTATATGATTGAGTTACAGAAATTTAGTGAAAATAAAGTAAAAATAATAATTGTTAATACATATTTCAGTAAACTTTCACTGAAATGAGCTCTGATCTTCCAGGTATCACATTTTTTGAGCAACATTTCACACACACAAACAATTTTTGTGGTTAGCTTTTAACGTTCGACGAACAGAAACACTGACAAAGAAAGATACATAGAGGATAGGCGAACTGTTGAGTTAAGAACCCATCACAACAAAGTGAGAAGTTATTAATTCTTGGAGCGCAGGTTCTGAACTACAATAAACACTTGATCGATTTGATTCTTACTTTTGGTTCGCGATGTAAATCTTTCCTGCCTTTCTTGCCAACGCTTTTCGAGTAGTTCTTTGAAAAGCGTATTATAACCCTTTTTTTGGTAAAAAGAATTTTTATATAAAAAAAATTATTTTAATTAGATTTTTCATTATTTTAAGCAGTGATTAGAAAGAAATATGTATATAAAAAATTGATCAAACATTATTCTACTTTTACCATTCTAGAACTCTACCCACAATTCTATTACTCAAATGCTTAAGATACTTTATATAAATATATATACATATAAACATTAATATAAATGAATACTTACACCCTCGAAGAGTTTCTTCTTGTCATCGTATGAGCGGGTGTCTACACGTCTTTCGTATTTGGAGGCGACTTGAATCTTGGGCGGGTATTTGCCAGTCAAAGCCTCAGGGTCGAGACCCTTCTTCAAGGCTTTGTGCCTGAGCTGTTGTTTCTGTCTTTCCTTCAACTCTTTCAACTATTTCAATGCAAATTATTTGCGAAAAGAGTAAGTGTAAGTGTCACGCTTGTATTGTTCATATTTTGAAATGTACTCACATCGTAGTCCTGACGTTTCTGCCTTTCTTCCAAGTCATACTTCTCAGTTTCCAATTTGACAATGAGTTCCCACAGTTCTTGGGCCTTCTCGCGCAATTTCGAATCATTGAAACCTTCAATGGCCAAAGGTTTGATACGGAACGACAAAGAGATCTTCTTCTCTTCCTCCAACTGTTCCTTAGTCTTGTTACGCTCCATGGCGGCGGATGAGAGTCCCAACTAAATTTGTTTTATTTTTTTTTTTTTTTTTTTTTTGGATGTTTTGTTTCGATTTCGATTTTTTATTTTTCATTTGATGTTGATATGATGAAACACACAGTAGTAAAATCACGTAGACCATAGTACAAAGTATGGCATTGACCACAGCGTGAGAGAGAGAGAGAGAGTTGATTGGTTGGAGTAAAACGTGAGTGAAAAAGATAGAAGATACACACGAAAGAGTGTTTGTGAAGTTTGTTTGTTTGTTTTCGTTTCGTTTTTGGTTTGAACAAAAGAAGCATTTGCGTTTTTTTTTTTTTTTTTTGCAAAATTAACGAAAAAACAGAAGAGGAACAGTGGTTGGTAGGGATACAAAGAACAGGTAATAATTAGTGATTGAAGCAAAGGAATTGTGATTTGTGATTAGTAGATTCAAAGGAGCGGTGGAATTTTTAAAAAATTTAATTTATATTTTCATTTTGAATTTCCAAATTATTTTTTTTTGTTTTTTTTTTGGGTCAAATTCGTTTTAACCAATGTGTGTTTTTTTTCAGTGGTTGGTGAGTGAGGATGTGGTAGGATGATAAAAAAAGTTTGAAAAAGACATAGAGAGAGAGAGAGAGAGAGAGAGAGAGACAGAGACAAGGACAGAGTTATGGTTATGGATGTGGTTATGGATATGGAAGTGGATGTGAATGGATTGCGTAACGACAATAACAACATTAGGAAGAGAAAGAGAGAACATAACAGGGAACACATATAAGTTTAAGGCATTGCATTAGAATGAAAGGATTACCACGCCTGCGTCCTTCTTGGCAATAGTGAAATTGGGTCCCTTCTTGTCCTTGTCCTTCATGGCCTGCAGCATAGCTTGACGCTTCTTCTCGGCCTCTTCGAGACGTTGACGCTTCTCTTCGATTTCGCGCTGTTTCTTCTCTTCAACTTCACGTACGCGACGCTCCTCCTCTTCCTTCTTGCGTTGCGCCATCTTTTGTTCTTCTTCGGCACGCGAGATCTTACGTTTGGCCTGTTTCTCTTTGAGTTTCTTCAACTCATCCTCCTCCTTGGCACGCTGTTTACGCCATTCATTGATGTATTCTTTCAGTTGCTCATCGAGATCGGAGCGCTTTTGATCCTGACGTTTAATAAATTCTGGATCTCCCTCACCCCTGTTGGTGTTGGTGGTGGTGGTGGTTCAAGTAGTTGTACGTGCGTGAGTTAGTGAGTGATAGAGACAAAAGTGGGAAAAAAGAGAAGACAAAGGTATTAGTTTTTGTTTTTGTAAAATTTATTTAATGAAAAATATATTTATTTTTTTTTTTAAATATATAGCATTAAACAGGTGAGCGCAAGGTAAAAATAGCGGTTTTACGAGCTCACATTTAAAAGAATATTTAAGAGAGTATAAGAGAGTAGTTGAGAGTAAGGCATTTTTTTTAATACTGTTAAATATACATTCTAAAAATAATTTTAAAACAAAAAAATATATATACTAATATTATTTATGTATTTAGTATTGTCAATAAGAGCGAGTAGTAAGAGAGTAAATACGAGAGAGTGTGAGTAGTGTTTTGTAGTATAGGTGAGCACATAGTATTGTTGTTTACAGTTAATCATAAGACGGAAAGAACTTGAGAACGATCTTTTTGGTGATTGATTATTTTCATTTTAAAATTAATTTAGAATTAAATAAAACTTAAATACATAATTAATGCATTCCTGACATATGAGAGATTGACATATATTCTAATGTGCCTACATATGGAGGAATTCGGAGGCTACTAGTAAGGTAAACTGCTAATTGTAATTATGATTACATATACATAAGAGCAACTCAAAATAGTTTTTTTAGGTTTTGAATTTAATTAAAAGAAATTATTTTAAAAACTTTCAGAAAGTAATATTATTTTTTTAAAATTTTATTTTTTTAAATAAATTAAAATATTGGCAGTTTTTAAATGAGCGAGTCATTAAAATTATGGAATCTCAACAAAAAAAAATAAATATAGTAATTAGGCTTCTGTAATTTAAAAATGATTTAATTACAAAATTGCAAATAGCAATATTTTGGCGCATCTGCTTAAAAATATTTTTTCAAATATTGCAATTTTTAACAGACAAAATAATGAGAAAAACATAAAAAATTAAAAAAAAAATTGTAAAGTAATTTTTTTATTTCTGAAAATTAAAAAAACATTGAATTTTTGAGTTGAAATCAATTTCAATTTAATTACATTAAAATATTTAATGTTTTATAATTATGAGACAGACTTTAAAAAGTATTGAAATAAATATATTTTACATATATAGATATATATTTTCAATAAAACTCTTTTTAATTATTCTACATATTAATTTTGAACGATTTTAATTTTAAATTTAATAATTTTTAACTTTCAAATTAAATTTTTTTCTGAAATTACAAAATTATCTGATAAATGAAAACAATTTATTTTAAACATAGCTTTTTAGTTTTGAAATTCCTAAATTAACTCCAAAATTTGCTTTTAATAGAAATCAAAACTATTTTATTTATTTTACCTTAAAATGGTCGAATTTAATTTTTTTATTTTAAATTTTATTCGCTTTTATTACATTTTGTACTTTTTAAATTATTTTACATATTACTTTTTAACGATTTAAATATTAGATATATTTAATAATTTTTAATTAAAAGATTTTAAAATTTGCAAAATAAATTTATTCTGAAATTATTCTTAATCAAAAAATTAGCAGATAAAAAAAAATTTTAATTAAAAAATTATCAGCAAGAAAAGTGAAAAAAAAAAATTTAAATATGACTTTTTAGTATTGCAATTCCCAAAATTACTCCAAAATTTGTTTTTAGTATAAGCTAAAATTTATTTTAATTATTTTACCTTTAAAAAGTCTAATTCAATTTTTATCTTTAGAATTTTACTCGGAATTATTACTTTTTATATTTTTTTTTTCAAGAAAGCGCTTTGAAGACGTTTAAAAATCCTCTAGAATACTAAATGAAATCTCAGTATCAGAATTGATGAAAAGTATTATATATTATTATTTTTGTTTTTGTTTTAAAAAATTGTTTTAGAAATTGAAATAAAATAAATAATTGTAATAAAATAACAAAAATATGTAGAAAATACTTTTAATTAATATAGACCGACTGGGTTTTATAAAAATCATTAACATTTTCTAACTAATTTTTCATAAATTTATTTAATAATATATTATCATTATTATTATTATTATAATTTTTACGTAATTTTTTTTTTTTTTTTTTTTTTTGGTAGAAAGATATAGTATTTTTTTTTCATTCGAAATGCATAGTAGTTTAACATCAAGGACAATAAAAATAAAAACAACATCAATATGAACACATACATACATACTTGTAAGTACATATTAAATGCACAACTACAATTACACACATAACTATTTATGCGAGAATTTAATAAGATATTTGTGACTTTAATGATATTCGATTTTTTTAATTATTTTTTATAATTTTTTTTGTATTTTTTTATCACTGCTTCAACTTGTGAAACAGCTTAGAGCCGAAAATTGTCGTGAAAATTTCGGTGCATATATTTACATATGTATGTGTATGTACAGTGGGTCGAGCAGTATTTTCTTGCATGCCAAAATGAAACATACAACACTATACTAACGAAAAAAAAAATAGAAACATATTGATAATACAACAGATGATTGGAGGAGTGATGAACCAACAATAACGGTTATTATTTATTTTTTTTTAGGAATTATAATTATTTTTCATTTCGTTATTATTTATTATTATTTTTTTTTCATTGCGTTTTCAACGCTCAAACATTACTGTTTTGTGTGAGTACAAAAATTGTTGCGTTAAATTAACTAACTAAACAAAATTACTTTGCATTTATTTGCCGATAGGTATTTGGCTAACAGCTAGAAAGCAGGACTTTGGGGTATACACAACAAATGACATGTAAAGCAGAATTACAAAAACAAACATTGGCTGTGGGCGGGTTGGTAGGAAAACTATGCGATTGCACATGGCTGCAAGTAAAGTTTTTGGATATTTTCATTGCTTTGAAAAAATTTAAAATAAAATTTTGTTTTTTCTTTTTTTGAGACTCACTGGTATGAGATTTTTTCGAAAGGCTCGAAAATCGAATTTTCTTTTCAAATTTTTGATACAAAAATTAAGTTAATTTATTTGGAAATCAATTTGTGGTTTTCAAATAATTTTTTTGTTTTAATTTCATAAATAAAATTTTCCTACTTTTTTTTTTTAAAATATCGAAAATTTTGCGCACAGAACTTTTGAAGATCATTTCGTGTAGTCATGAGAAAATATTTGCGAAAAATTCCAAGGAAATTTTGAAATTTTCATATTTTGGAATTTCGTGCAACAAAATATATTTGCTTAATTTTGTATCTGATTTTTCATTTTCTAATGCTTCACTTGCAGCCGTGATGGCGGCGTTTGTTGGTGAGTTTACAACAATTAAAAATAACTATAAATATTTATAAATTGTTCATTTTTTTCTTTATTTTCTAACACTTACTCGGCTGGTGTTTGAGGTGGCTTTCTACGTTTTCATAAGAGGCATTTGCAAACATTTTGTGGATGGATTGATTGGATTGCAGTGTGTGTGATATAAAATTTTTGAATTTTTTTTTTAATATTTAAATTTTTTTTTCAAAAAAAAATTATTTTTTTGTTTTTAAATTTTGTACATTTTGGCATATCCAAAGTGATGAGGTGTGTGTGTTTTTTTTTTTTTTTTGGTAGAGCGATTGGTATAATTGTTGGTGAAGTGTTTGATGTTTAATCATTTTTTTTTTGTTTTTTTTTTTTTTTTTTTTGGTGATGATGGCGTGATAACAAAAACGCAATTTTGTAGTTTTCGCATAATTTCGATATTGTTTGGTTTGTTTTTACATTGGTTGATTTATATTTTTTGTTTACAAAAAATCGTACACACACGCAACAATACAAAAAAGGTAACGTTGACGAAAAGAGAGAATAAAAAAATAATTTGTTTAAAAATTGTGTTACATACGTGGTAAATAATATACAATATAGCATAGAAAAATACATAGGTAAATATGTGAATGTATTTGGAAATGTAAATATGTTTGTATATACATTGTTTATTTATGTACTATATAAACGTTATGTATATTTATATATGTTTACATATATATATAAATATATATGTATATATAATGTGCAAAAATGTAAACTAAAATATGGAGAGAAAATAACGAATGCTAAATCTATTTTCAAAAAGTAAATTGTTTAAGAAACTATGCGAACGAGCCAACAACTTGTGTAAATAACGAGGAAATATTTTTTTTTTGCTAACGAAAAAATTTAAATTTACATTGTAATCTATTTTTTTGCTTTTGCTTTTTGCTCTTCAATTAAAATAAATTAAAAAAAAAAATGAAATTAAAATAATTTTTGCTAACTATGCTACCCCGCACTTTTAACGGTGTAAATATTTACATTATTTTTTTGTTTGCTTATACATATATAGAAATTTATTTACATATCTTTACATATATCCTGTAAATGCATTCATCAAAACAAAGAATGAAATCACTGATTATATGCAACACTGTTTCAATTAACGACTCAAAAGCTTACGCTTTCGCCTGAAAGTATGCTTCTTCATTTACATATATACATTAGCGAAACGCTACGAGTTTTAAGCTTTTGTTTTTTGTAATTTTTAACGCTCTTTATATATTTTATTTATTTATTTATTTTTTTCGTTTTCAACCGCAATATACTTTAAAATACATATATACGCGCTTGTGTACTCATATGTGTGTTTGTGTATTTTGTCACGTTTTCTATGCATTTATGGCACATATTGCCATGCTTGGACTTTTCTATTTGGGAGTATGCTCTCTACTTACTTCCTGCAATTAGATAAATAAAAGAAAGAAAAAAAGAAGGAAAAACAAACAAAAAATATTTGTTGAGTTTTATTCATCTTTCATTTACATACATATATATATTTTTTTGAATTTTCTGTATGGACTTGTATGTGCAACGCTGACGAAATGGCAAATTTTTTATATGAATTTTGTTCTTTTTCCAAATTTCAGAATTTTATTAATTTTTTTTTTTAGTTGGCATTTGGCAGTTGGCAGGTACGATTTGATAGAAATCAGTGCACACTCGCTTGTCAGCCATACGTTCACATACATACATACATATGCGTACGTACATATATTATGTGTATGAGAGAAAGAGAGACAGAGAGAGAAAGAGAGAGAGAAACAGTAAGTAATATATGCATAGTACGTTCTAGTAGTGAGTTTAAAAATAGAGTTAAAGTTTATATAGGAAGTACAAGCAGTAGAGTAGTAAAGTAAATGGAATTCAATTCAAATTGAACTTAGTAAGAATTATAAATTTTTGCCATTTTTCGTAGGTAGTTTATTATTTTGTTGTTAAAAAATTTTGTTTGCAGAATTTTTGTTGATTTTTTTAGTTTTTGCTTGAATTTAAAAAAAAATTTTTTTTTTTTTAAAACCGAACAACTTTTTAAATATTTGCTTGGATCTAGTTGGTAGTAATTGCAGTTGTTTTATGAAAAAAAAGTTTCTTCTTGCCAATTTGGCACATTTTTGTTTAGTAAATTTGCGTACTTTTTGCTTTTGTGCAAATTAATTTTATTTTTTTTCTTGTTAAGTCTACAACAGCGCAGCGTTTCCAATTGCTTGAAAGCAATTAATATTTTTATGTTTTTTTTTGTTGTATTTTTTTTTGACTATCGTTTCTATTTTCGTGGCCAGTTTGTATAATCTTAAAGCTAAATTTAGTAATTTTAAGCATATAATTTTGTTTTTTTTATTCTAATTTTTCTAATATAAATTCTGCCATAATTTGTGCCCCAATAATTTCATTAAATAAACGACTCCGAATAGTTTGTTTTAGCAATAAAAATAAATTTAGAAATACGAAATGTTTAAGTTAAAAGTAAGTAAGTAACTTAGTGAGTGAGTGAGTGGGTGAGTGAGTGAGAAGGATGCTGTGATGATTAATTGATATAAATAAATGTATATAATTTTTCTTTTATATATCTTTTTTAAATTTTCCAATACATTTGCCATTGCAATCAACCATATAATGAGTTCTGATGTGTATCTATGCATAAATGTGTGTCTATATGTGTTTATACTTTTTTTTTTGGTGTAAATAATAATATTTATATGCCATTGCAGTACTTACTCTTTGGTCTCCTCGACAACCTCCTCCTCCTCCTCGGAACTATAGTTATACGGGGCGTTCGTAGTGCATGCGTATATATGTATGATTATACAATTTGAGCACATACAGATATACATTGATTACAGGGTTTGCCAACAAATAGATATGTATATATATATATTTTTTTTTTTTTTGCATAACACATACACATGTGATAATATAGGTAGGTCGGGTTATACGATCAGGTGTACAGGTACAGGTGATCAAAAATATATATGGGCGTGACGTACACAATGGACGGACGTTCATTTTGGTAGCGTGTACGAAAATTGTTGTATGTGTGTTGTTGGTTGGTTGGTTGGTTGTTGTTGTTTTATTTTTATTTATTTTTTTTAGGTGCAAACACAGTCGTACATGTGAAGAGAGACATAAAATAAATATAATGATAAGAAAACATGTAACAAATTTAACTCAATAACATAAAAATAATGTTATTATGTTTATATATGTGTATACAATATGGTATTATTGTTGTTTTTTTTATGTATTGACATTTTAAAATGCTCAACAAACTGTTGCCTTATAATATTAAAAAAAAAACTATATATTTAGAATACTATATACATACATACATATGTATATAAATTATATACTAACAATAACTAATATGCCAAAATTATGTTTTATTCTATTGGTAAATAAATAAGAATTTGTTTTTTTTTTTTAAATAAAGAAAATTTTTTTTATAAAAAAAAAGTTTTATATATTAAAATATTTAACTATGTACTATAATTTTTTATATATAAATTTATTATTTTTGTTATTTACAATTATTTTGGTTTTTTTTATCAAGTTATAAAATAAAACTAGTTCTTTCCTTTAATTCAGTGTTTTTAATTTAATTTATTAATATTTTTCAATTTTATATTTGAAATAATTTAATATATAAAAACATATTTGTATTGTAATTTACTTTTAAACAGTTAAATTTATTTTTATTTAATTCGAAAATCTTTAAAATATATTATTTTATTATTAATGTCAATTTTTCTTTAATTTTCTTTGATAATTTTTAAAAAATTAAAAAAAAAATTTTTAATATCATTTATTTATTTGTTATTCATAAATTTTGTTCATATTAAATTTTATTTGAATTTATTTTAATAGATTTTAAATCTTTTTTTTTTATTATTATATTATTGAGTAAAATTTTTGTTTAAAGTAAATTTTTTTCTTTAAGTATTTAATTATAATTCAATATTTCTTTTCTTTTATTTGAAAAATATATATGTATTTTTGTAATAGTTCGAAAAGTTAAAATTTTTGAGTTAATAAAATTTTTATTTTAAAATGTCAAGCCTTTTCTAATTTACTTTTAATTATTTTCAAATTTTTTTAGTTAATTTTTTTTTTTATGATTTATTCGAATATTTTAATTTGTTTCAACTCCTTTTTGAATTTTATTGCTGTGAATTAATTTTTTTTGTTAATTTTTTCTAATTTACTTTCAATTATTTTAATTTTTTTTTTATTATTTGAAAAATGTATTTTAATTATTTAATTCGAAAAATTTAAAATATAGATGTTGTCAGACTTTGTTTTTTTATCATTTTAAATTTTTTAATACATTTTGTTTTATTTTTTATTTTATAAAATTTTAATTAGTTTTTTTTTGATCATTTTAAATATATTTTAATAAATTTGGTTTTATTTTATTTTTTGTATTTATTGTATGTATTTATTTTGTTATTTCATTTTTCTAACTATTTGATATATATCTTTTTTCTATTTTAATACTTAAAGTAAAATGTTTAATCAAAGTAAAATTTCCTTAATTTACCTATAATTAATATTCAATTTTTTTACAGACTTTTATATGACATTGATTTAATAAATACATAAATCTGAATGCAAGTTGTTGGAAAAATTTTACAGAAATAAACAAATTTTAATTTTTAAAATTGTAAATGAATAATTCCATATTTTTGTTTCATATTAAATGTATGCCAAGCTAAAGATAATTGTGATTTTATCATAAAGAATCCGTACAAAAATTAACTTAACTTCCTCCGTAACTTATTTCATTATGCATAAACTCACAATTTGTCGTCAACAAAAAAATTCATTTGCATAAAATTAGCTACTAAAAGGAAGCCATTAATATCGCTGGCATGAAAAATACCTGTATGAAATTTTATTGTATTCAAATAATTTCAATGAAAAATTTGCATTTCCCATGCCATAAATGTGTACGTGAAAATACAATGAGCTCTACACTTTTTTGCAATATTTTATTGCTTTATGAGTTATGGAAATGCAAACTCGCGTATGTATTGTATACAAACATACAATAGTACTCAATACAACAGCAGTCGAAGGTGCTGTTTTTCATTACTCATACGCCATGTCGTCGTACACTGACTTTTGACGTGTGCGTGTGGTGGGCTGGCAAGGTGGCTGGCTTAGCAAAATAAAATGCAGGCATTCAATTACAAAACAACAACACGTTTTCCTTGTATATATGGATATATATCAGTATTAATATGATACGTATTTGCCTGTGCAAGTCTTTGTAGTTTAATTGAAATATTTCCCTTTTGCATACCAAAGCAATTTGTATATTGATATGTTGTTGTTTCACTTTTTACGTGTTTTGTTTTTTTTGTTATGCTATGCAACTATTTATATGGTGCGAGTAATTGCCATCATTTTAATTGCTTGTTTAATAAATGCGGTATTTACTGATGATTGAGTATTTGCTTTGCTTTTTTTGCATTTTGTTTTACACCAGGTGTCTGATCCTCGCGAAAGAGATTTTATTTTTTCCTAACTTAGCTGCTATTTCGGCGTTATAAATATATTATATTTAAACCTTAATTGAATGCTTTGCATAATAATTTTCTTAACACTTTTTGCATTAATTTTTTTCTTTTTTTAATTTAAGTAGTTTAAATTTTTCTTATTTCATTTTTGTTTATGTTTTAATATTTGTTTGATTTTTATTTAATTTTAAATATTATTTATTCAATTTTTTTTTATTCTCCATTATCGCCTACATAAGCTAGTGTTTTTACTTACGTGTACTCCTCTTCATCGGACATGGTTATGGTTTGGGATTAAGAAACCTGTAAAATAAAGGAATTCATATATTAGTTTACTGGCATATGTATATTTTAGTTATTTTTTATTTGTATTTCTCTTTTGTACAATTTCATTGAGATTTTGTGATTAAAGTGCGATTTGGCATTTTCCAAGGATTTGTGGTTGATGAATATTTGCATTGATTTCAAAACTTAATTGTAAACAAAATAAAATTTAATCTTCTCAGTAATTTAAGGGCTTAAGTTATTGTTGGGAGTATAATACATATATATATATATAAAATATTACATTACATTTTAAGCTCAAATATACAGAGCTATAGAAAATATTAAACTTAAAATACATATAACCTGCCAAAACCAGTAAGCAGTTAATTGATGTTTAAACTCATTAATAGAAAACGTTTTTATTGCATCTTTTGGTATTTAAAATTTTTTTCCTAAAAATTATTTTTACTTTGGTTTTTGTAAATTTTGAGGATCATTTTTTCACTATTTAAGAAATATCTCACTATGGAAAAAAAGCTTTTTCCATCTTTAGCATTAATTTCTATAATTTTAATAATAAATAACATTAAATATTAAAAATATTTGCTGGTTGTATTTTTCTATGTAAAAGAAAAAAAATATACGAAAAAAAACTTTTTTTTCATTCAATCCAAATTGCTAAAGATTTCTAAAAACGATAATTAATATTTAAATTTATTAATTATATTTAAAAACGACGATCACAGAATATCTAATTTTCATATCTCATTCCGAAAAAAGTTTAATTGCGTTTTTGAGTATTAAATTCATTTATTTTATTTGAAATATGTAATATGAATTATTTTGATGAAATAATTATTTAAATTATCATATTTGAATTTTTTTAACGTTTATATATATATATATATATATATATATATATGTATAAAGTATATATATATATATATATATATATTATAAGACAAATTTAAAAATTTGTTTCTTTTATGTTTCAGTGAGGTTACTCATACGCACCGGTAGGCGATACTCATAAATTTATATTTAATATATTCATATTAAAGTATCCTTAAAAAATCTGTTTTTTATTCACTATACTCAACTATTATTATTATTTTTTTTTTTTTTGAAAAAGTAGTATTTCATTTTTTTTTTGTGACAAAAAAGTATTTTTTAATTAATTTTCCTGGCACCTGTTAGCTATAACTCAAGTCATTTTCACCCATGAAACCAAACTCAATTATATCAAATGCCTCATTTCCCCTTACCAATTGCACCCACGTGTATATATACTCATATATATAACCAATCAAATAAAGTGCATATGAGTAGAAAACAAACACGCGCACGCACACACGCACACACGCTTACACTTGTACACAAATTGCAACGAAAGCATACCATTAAAGGTGAGAAGTCGACATAGTTTTTTAAGTCAAACTTTTTCCAGCCATTTCATGGGAAAACTACATACATAAATATATTTATGCGCATATATGTATACGAGCTATGTGCGCCAGTACAATGTTGCACTGTGCCAAAATGCTTTGGCAACAAAATTTCATTTGAATGCAATTTGAATTTGTTTTTATTTATGCTGCCACCGTCATCGTCATCGTCGCCGTCGCCGCCGCCGGTAACAGACTAACAAAGTAAACAAATTTCGAAAATGTTTAATTTTTTCTTTATTTAAATTTCAAATATTTACCATCAAAAGTTTTGTGCTAACGCGTCATATTTGAAAAATAAACCGTTAGAAACGCAAACAGTACACAAATATGCATACATACATAAGTGCATAACTTCAAATGGCATAAAAAAGGAAACTCAACCACGAAAATTCAACAGCATTGATTGCTGTTGCTGTTGTTGTTGTTTTTGGGGTTTTTCTCTGTTGCTGCTCTTGCGGCTGCTCATTATCAAATATTCCCCAGACAAATTTGTTTGTGTTTGAATAAAATCACTGCACGCGCATATATGTTAATGCAGATGTATGTATGTCTTGATGTATGTATGTGTGTATATAAAACAAATTTTCCCATATTCAACACACAGACAGATATGAATATATATATATATATATATATATGAGTTTAAGTCCACAAGTATTTCATTTATACTCATACATATGTTTGCTGGCATGTGTATGTGTGTGTATAGATTTCATAACATATTTACATTTCCCATGAGTGTGTATGCATAAATGAAAATTTATATTCTCGCCTGATTGTATTTGACTTGCCACTGTTTATTTGTGCAAAAGTACAAAAATACAAAAATACTTATAGCATGCATACAACACAAGCAAAACAACTACAAATTATATGACAAATAGACAAATTTTTGTACATACACACACATACCTATGTATCAATATATACTAGGATATGTATTCCCGCATATATTGTATGCTTAGAAACTGCTTGAATATTTATCGTTTCGAAAAAATATGCTTTCTTATTTGTGAACATACATTTGTACGTATGTACGAGTATGCATGTATGAATGTATGTATGTATATATATTTAAAAATAGATCGTATTGAATTTCCAATAGCTGAAAAGCTCTTTAGAAATAGCAAATTGTATAGAGCAAGAAGAAGAGAGAGAGCGCACTGTAGAAGGCGAACATATAGAGAATGAGAGTGTGTGTAGAGAGAGAGAGTGTAAAGGAGCAGAGTAGAAAAGAACAGTTATATGTTATTGCTCATTGTGTTATTGGGTAATAGGAAAATACTCATTCATATTAAACACACACTCACACACACACACATCCACTTTAACTTAACAAACTGATGTTCTCACAGGTGATAATACAACAACAAATGCTTAGCTAAACTTAGTGCCAAATTACTTGTAGCAAAACTTGTAGCAAAAAATAAAATCAGTGCGTGGGTGTGAAGGAAATTTGTTTTTGTAATTTTGAGAATAAATACTAGTATTATAAATAAATAAAAAAAAATTGTGTAGTTAGATATTAATGTATAAAATTTGTAGATATTTTATTTATGGCGTCGAAAAAAAATAAACACTTTTTATAGGAACTTTCAAGGCTCGCGTAAGGTTTGGTGCATTTATTTGGCCAATTTGATTATAACTATTTTTAATTAGTAAATTTGTTAATTTTAAAATTATTTAATTTATTACTTCTAGTATTAAATTATTAAACAAAAATCGCAATTTATAAAAGCGTATAGTTTTCAATAAAATATTTTAATAATACTATATAAATAATAATAATGAAATCAATTATTTAATTAATTTTATTAATTTATTTTATTTAATATTTTATTAATTTTTATTAAGTAAAGAAAATTTTAAAATAAGTTTTTAAGATTTTTTCAAAAAATCTTTTTTAGAATTAGCTTTTAAATTAATTTTTAAATTACTCGATATTAATTAAATTATTAATAATTTACAAAAAAATACATATTATTATTTTCAAAACTATTTTTTCTTCAAAAATATAACAAAAATGCTTTTTTTTGTATTATTTTCCGATTTGAATGCTACTAAAAATAAAGAGTTTTATATGTTGCTTTGATACTCCTTAAGTAATAAGCTTTATTATTAATTAGAGTAATATTGAAGAATTTGTTTTTTTTTTTTTCAAAAAACTTTGTAATGTTTTTCTTGTGTTAAAATTTTGAAATTTATTTTGAAAAAAGTCAAGAAAACATTCTGTAAAATATTACTTTTCTACTTCTACATCTTCCCAAATACTTAAGGCTTCTTCTCTACTATTTTTTTATCAATTGCATTTTCATATTGCCATTTTTTCCTTTTTTTCTTTTTACCAAAAAATAATACCATTCTACTAATTCTCTAATTTACTCTTAAATATTACCATAATATTTTGAAAACAACAATAATTTAGTTTCTAAACTATTCTAGAATTTTTTATATTTTTTCGCTATACTTTTACGCTTAAATACTTCTACCTATATACATACATACATACATATATGTATTCACGTCACTAGAAAAAATTTTTAATAACAAGTATCAAATGGCAGAATTCCAAATTTAATAAAATTTACACCCACATGCACATACACGTATGCATATGCATGTGTACGAGTGTGCGGCAAAAAAAAAAACAACAAAAATTAAAAAAAAAAAATTACAAATAAAAATAGAATATTGCGTGGGCCGCAGTGATCGCCACACGGTTTTTATGCCAAAACATATAACAACAAAAACAATTAGAGGAAAAAACTTCGTTTTTTTTTTTGTGCTTTTAAGCACGCCACTCGGAAAGCTTGCTATGGCCTTCGTGCGTCAAATTTCCTGCACAAAGGTGTAAACACAAAATGCAGAATTTCAAAAATTTTGAGTAGAGCGAAAATTCATTGCTTCCTTTAAAAGCTTATAATAATTGGTATAATGTGTATGTGTATGTGTGCGTGGTATTATAGTATTTGTAGGTGTTGGTTTCTCGTTTTTATTAAATGCTTATGTATGTATAAAATATTATCTGGTGTGTATTAATGTGTTTTATGTTATATATTTTTGTGTTTTTCAAATTTTTCATAAATCGATTTGTGCTCTTTTTGCTTAATAGAAGAAAACTTTTTTATATAACAATTTTTTTCGTTGTCAGCTTGTACGCACTTTTCTATGTGCTAATGAAATTGACATTTTTATTATAATTACTTTTGTTGTTTTTGTTATTCATAGTTTTTCAATTTCTTTTTATTTATAAATATATATTAACATTTTATTTTTTGTTTCAATATTTTTTATTGCTGTACTATATAGTCTTTTACGCGTATACTTTATTTTATTTTTATTCTATAATTTTTTTTATTTTTTATTATAATTTTTCTTTTTGCCTCAGTGCTTCCTTTCCTCTTAACGCTTTATTTCAATTCATTTTGCCAAGGTGACCAACTAACAAACTGCATGCGCGTAAATATAAATATGTTTGCATTTTTGTTGTAAAATTTATTTTTAAATACACTCGCACATATTTTAGTTTTATTTTTTTATTTTTATCTATTCCTTTTTTCTCTTTGGTGGGGCTGCTGTCTGTTTGCTATTTTTTGTGCGTTTCATGTGCTTATGTCTGTGAGTGTGGGTATATGTGTGTATATTTGTATATATGCGTATGCATTGACAACAGCAGCTGCATCAAATTTTTGCTCTGATGATGTTACCTCACTTTTAAATATACTTTTGTATATACATATGTATATATATCATACTATGTATATGTATATATATTCTCCTTTGTTTCTATTGTTCCTTAGCGTTTGCCTTGGCTGCTGATTCTCCTTGATTCTTTGCATTTTTCGTTTTGGGTATTGAATTGAATTGCTTGCTTCTGTTGTTGTTGTTTTTTTAGTATATATATATTTTTGCTTTTTCGATTTTGTTGTATTTTTGTCTTTTTCTTTTCTTTTCATTTCATTTCATTATTATTTCATTTGTTCGTCCGCTGATCGTTTCGCTATATCATATAACACATCATACCGAGTGTGTGTGGCTATGTGTGCATCTGTGTGTGTGTAGTGCTCAGGCCCCGATGATGTCTATTTTTGGCTATCTGCACTTCGGCGGCGCCTGGTGTAGTTAATGCCACACTGAATGCGCTGCTTTGTATTGCCACACCACAGTCGAGCTGTAGTGTGTTGCGGTGCGTGGTATGTGCTTATGTATGTATGTAGATAGGAAGTACCGTTGCTGTAGAATTTTAATTTATGTTTAATTTTAATTTAGTTATCAATTTTTCTAAGTGAAGAAACGTGATTTTTTCATTAATTAATTATAAATAATAAATTGTAATTTAAATCAATTAATTTATTATTTATTAATTTATTATTAATTTAATTATATTTTATAATATTTATTTTTATTAATTTAATTTGTTCGAATTAATAAAATATATTTAGCAATATCCTTTTATTTAATTTAAATTTATTTTAATAAATATATGACTTAATTTTCTCTTATTTTGGTTTTGAGATTTATTATTTATATCAAAATTTAATTTTCTTGCTCCAAAAATTTTTTAATTATTTTTTTTTTAAATAATTTAAGTCGCATTTTATGCATTTAATTAATAAATAGTTGATATTTTATTATAATAAAAATAAGTTAATAATTTTTTATGGCGATTTTAAAATAAAATTCATCATTTTATTAATATGTTTATATTTTTATTTTACTTCTTTATTTTGTTATTAATATATAAAAATATTAAATATGAAAAACTTTTTTTAAAATATTTTATGTTTCTCTTTTGCTATGTTTTAAACATATTTTATACTTTTAATTTTGAAATTTAAATTAATTAATAATTATTTATGATTTTGTTTTAATAAATAAATTTTATATTCATTTTAAAATATTCCATTAATATATTTTTTTATTATAATCTACTTATATATATTTTTTCTTTTCAAACCAATTTTATGTATTATTTTTCATATAAATATATGTTTTTTTATTTTTTATAAAATTTTTAATTATTATTTTTTTTACAAATTTTCAACACCGTTACTCCATTTCTCCATGTCATTATCCTTTTTAGAATGCTTTATTTTTTTCTATATTTTTTACGTCACACACATACACATACACTTTCGCATTATTTCAATGGAAAAAAAATACTCCAATATGCACATACTTCAGGTTAATAGGTCACTAGTATATGAGTACGTATTTATATGTCCTCTTTCATATACATATTTCTAAGTAAAAAAAAAATATTTTTCAAAAATTATTCAAGCACAGCATGCAAATTCGTTTTCGTAAAATCCAGTTCACTGCATTATATAATATTTGGCAGTTTGCTTTGCGGAAATTTTCTCAAAGTCCTCATATTTCGCACTATTTTCAACCACAAAGCCTGGTAATGCTCACAAGGATAATAGAAAATATATTTTTTTTTTTAATTTTTTTTAACTTTTCAATACTTTTTCTCCAAGAAAAAAAAAATTCGACTATATTTTCCTCTATGATAATTTTTTTCTTCATGTGAATTTCAATATTCAGGTATTGAAAACTTACTTAGGGAAAAGAAACAAAATTAAACTCTCTACGATAGTCCGAGCAGCTGACGACGTTGGGAGCGAATGCTGCGGTTCGACTAAACAGACTGACGATCAAGCAAGCAACCAGTGCGTTATGTTGAGGAAATTTTTCGGAAAATTACATTTTCTACCAACGCACACATATGCAACAAATGGCTGCAACATAAACAGAGGAAGAAGCACAATCGCTTCACCAGTCACCAGTCACCAGGCAGGCACCCGTTATGTGATCGTGTAGAATCAGAAACTCTCTCACGCGCTCCGTTGAGTGGGAGCAGTTGCGCTCGAGTTGTCAACAGCTTGAGACGCGCAAGTACGAATGGGACAACAGTTGCTGGCTACTCAGGTGGGTAGCAAATGGCAAAACTGAAAAAGGAAAGTGGCTGCGGGTGGGAGTGGGTGTCGATCGGGCAGCTGCCGTTGTGGGCAGCTGTAAGGTGTGCAGAGCGGAGAGCATGTGGTAGTGGAAGTGTAAGTGTATATGTGAAGGCTATTTTCATTAGTAGCCAAAGTAGTAGTCGTTGTTGTTGTGCGCATATCTTGAGCTATCATAAACATATCTGAAATGTGAAATTTAAACGATTTTTTTTTTATTTTGGGAAATTCGAAATTCTTGTTTTTCACATGCATACACTAACACATATGCACATGTTTTCAGCAGCCCACCTACGTGTTGCAGTGGAATATTCAAAAATTGCCTACAAAAACAACAAGTGGCAGGCAGTGCGTGCAAGTGTTTGTGCAAAATAAAAACGATTTTGTGCCGGTGGTTGATTGTTTTTTTTTTTCTTTTCACTTTGTTGATAGCCAGATATTGGTAGTATTGCGCTGGCGTTGATTGTGATTCATTTTGTCGTCGCCGGGTGCGGCCATATTATGTTGGTGGTAGTGCTGGCGGTGGTGTCTTTTGGCGTAGGCGAAACATTTGATTTTTCGGTTCAAAAAATTGTTATTCTCCTTTTTTCCACATACATGCTCGTATATGAGGTCGTTTAATTTTATTCAAATGCTTTTATTACACACATACCATATGCATGAATTCGGCAGTTTTTTTTTTGGAATTTTTTTATTTTTGAATTTTTTCACATACATATATTCCATGGATATTTTCACTTACTTTTCGGCTGTTTAGCGCATACATAAATACATAGCCATATACATATACCGTTAGTGGTCACAGTATCGCAGTCATTGCTCAATATGCATTTTCAGCTGTTAGCGTATACGGGGCGTATACGTAACTTGAAGCAAGCGATGCTTGAATATTCAGGTATAATTGCATATATGTGTTTATTACGGTTAAAAAATGTGGTGCGTTATGTTGAATATGTCAATATATGAAGTTCATTTAATTTTTTATTAAATATTTCAAAGTGTTTAATTTTGTTTTTGATATATAATTTGCTTTATTGGTAAACATACGTAAATGATGTGATTGAAATATTCGTCAAATTTTGAATTTTCATAAGAAAGTAATTTTCTGAACTACTTTGAGACCAGTATTACCCGAATCCCAAAAATTCTCCCGATGGCCGAAGGGATTTCACATAAAAAATATTTGGAGAGCTAACTCGAGGCAAGGGCCATTTAGAACAAGTTTTAAAAAATTATTTCAGCACTGAAAGATCTTACATAACAAATTTTTTTTCCGAACTAGTTCGAGACTAGTACCGCTTAAAATATTTTCATATTATTTCACCACGGAGTTTTTACATAATAAATTAATTTGGAACAAATGGTAAATTACTTTTATACTAATTCGAGTCTAGTGCTATTTGGAACTAATTTTCATATATTATTTTTGGAAAGTTAGTTATAACATAACAAATAATTTTTTGAATCAGCACGAGACTAGTGATATTAGAACTGATATAGGAAATTTATTTCAGTGCTGAGAGATTTTGCAAAATAAATTATTTACCACACTAATTCAAGACTAGTGCTATATATAAATGGTATCAGAAATAGTACAATTTAGAACTAATTAAAAAAATATATATTTATGAACTGAGAAACTCAAAAGTGAAGTAAGAGGTCAATCTCCTTTTGGTTTAAATTTTTTTGCTATAACATTTCGATACTTTTTTGTGTGCACCTTAGTACTAATTCTATGTTCATATAAGAACAGCTCAAAACTATTAAAAGACTACATATCACAACTAGTTGGCTGCTTCTTCTGAAGTAGTCTGAAAAATTTTTATACATAATTCATCAAATAGTTTTTACGTAAGCTTCTGAGCCAATCTTATTATTAGTTTACTCTAAAAGTTCATTGACTAGATTTTCGAAGCCTTTCTGCATGTCGCTTAACGTTATGTGACTTTCACTTTAGTGGCTAAAAAGGTCTGTTAAATGGTCTGCTGAAGCCTGAAACTTCTTTGATTTCATCGGTCAGCAACTATTCTTATAACACCAGCTCTACCATCTACCGTTTCAATGATGCGGGAAATTCTCCCAATTTTCTTTACTTTATACGCGTATCTTAGCACACGCCAAAGCATTGTCTTCTAGTTGAGTTAACAGAGGATTCGAATTACTACTCTCTCTCCAATAAATGCTTCAAAATTTTTTTTCCACAATGAACTTAAACAGGAATGAATGATTGAAAACACGTTTAAAGGCGACTGAAAACTTGATGACAAAGTGGGCCGGTCAATGCACTCCGCGATGCTTTTAATTAATATCAGCAAGAGACTACAACACCAAAGCCACCTCATCCAAGTAGAACTCATTGCAATTATGAAAGTCGTCAAGCTGCGGTTCACAACTACTGCAGCAGGACAATAATTTACGACATATTATTTGAATCAAGCTGACATTAGATCTCAACCCGGCAACATTACCAACTTACTACTTGAACGCTGAAGAGTAAGAGTTTGTTCAACACCGCCACTGTCACTGAGCAACCTTGGCAACCGCGCGACATAAATTCCCAGGGAAATTCTTTATGGACTGTTTCGCTGAGTAGCCTAAAAATTAGTAATCTCTTAGCTTTAATAAAGTGAGCCAAGGATGTGCGTGGAAATCTCACAATGAGTAGCGTTAGTCGCTAATGAACAGCCATATAAACTCAAATCAACTCTCATCCGAACTGATTAGCCTGACTAGATTATTTGAAATTTTAACCTCCCCAAAAGTCTTATTATAAGCAATTTAGTACCGAACGTCGTCTGAGCCAGGTTCTCGCGTTATTTTACAGCACTTTTCCAAGTACTATAGCCTCTAGCAGGTAGAAGATCGCCGTGTTTTGATAAAGTAGATGCCAACCAGTTTTCTGTTTTTATTTTTGAGTTTATTTAACGGAGCTTCAAAATATGGATAATGTCTGTTTCCTTTTTTGTTGTTTTTTTTTTTGAAATTGTCATAAGTTTTTTGGCATGACCCATCTTTTAAGCGGTCTTTGCACACAAGTCAAGCGAAAATGTCCACAAAAAATACACACATAGCTATAAATACTTACACATATATATATACACTTTATGCATTTCGACATATCCGCCTAACTGATTTTCCTTCTAACCTCCTAAGCCAAAAGTCGATCTCCGTTCGAACCCATTGAGGCGTCTGCCAATTCGTAAGCAATGTAAATTTACAAAAATAAAAAAAAAATATATATATATATTTGTTTGTTCGTGTGTATTTGTAGCTCTGAATGTTTTTAAAAATGCCACGCCATTGCGGCTCATTGCATTTCCTTACAATTCCTGTTTGGCTTCTATACTTACATACATACTTTTGCATGCGGCTATGTGGACCAACAGGCCAGAGCTGCAGCTGCTGTCGTTGCTGCGCTAACATTGTTGTTCTTATTTTATTATTGCTGATGGGCAATGGGCCAAGTTATGCTCGGTTTATAAAGAAATTTAAAAAAAGTCGAAACTAGAAAAAAAATTGCAAAAAAAATTGCAAAAAAAAAATACAAAAACAAAATTTAAATGCAGACAACAAAAATGTACATGCATTAGAACGTTCAAATTAAACGTACATACATACATACATACATACATATGCCCACAAACAACAGCACTCTCTTATTAAATTTATTTCAAGTTAATAAATATGTTTATTTGTATGTTTATGAATAGTTTAAATTTTGATTCTTTACAATCTTGAGCAGCAACCGTTAGCTGCCTGATTGCTTGACCGTTTGCCATTTGTGCAATATACACATATGCATGTGTGAGTATATGCGCGTCCATACTATGTATGTATGTGCGAGTATGTTGGTCTAAATTTCATATTAACCACCGGGAATTGTGTTGAAATTTCGCATATTTGGCCAACGGCTGCTGTGCAGTGTTTTTGGCTTCGCTATAATATGAATTTCAATCATGAAAAGTATGCGCACGCCTATGCATATATGTATGTATGTATTATATATAAACACAATTATTTATAGAATTTTCACTCAGTTTTGTTTTTGACAGCTTATTAGCAATTAATTGTTGTTGCTTTTTTAATTTTAATAAAGAGTTTTCCAACGTTACTCTTGAGTGAACTTAAACAAAAATAAATAATAATTAATTTAAAAAAATATTTATATGATTTTGATTTACTTATATTTTAAATTGATTTCAAAAACATACTCATAGCATGCAGAGGAGTGTTCTTTTAAACAAAAAGAAATAAAATTTATATAATCTAAAGTTATAACCAAGAATTCATCAAGAACTTACCATTATGATTTTGCCATAAAATCTAGCCGATAAACTCAATTTTCGACCATTTTTTGCAGTAACTATTAGCAATACGCGATGAATGTTCTCTTCTAACGCGTCAATCGTCCTGGACTTATCTGCATAGACAAGCGACAATTTCAGCGGTGTTAAATCGTAAAGGGTGATTTTTAAGCTATTATCTTTTTGGCAACACTGGTTTAAGCAGCTGACGCACGCTTCGTGTTTTGTTTCACTGTCAAAAATCTTCAGTTTGGGCTACAATTTAGCCATGAATCGTCTGGCAAACAAACAAAGCTTGAAAATTATTGAATTTTATTCTTCCGCGCAACATCCGAAGCTCAGCTTTTTGGCCTAACGGGTGCGTAAATAAGCAGGATTGTCGATTTCGGTGGAGTGAAGATCAGCCAGAAGCATTTCAAGAGAAAAAGTCACAGTTTGGTGCGGTTTAAGAGTTGCGAATCGCAACGTAACTGTGTATTGTGAGCG